AAAAAAAAAAAAAAAAAAAAGAGCTTCTAATCCAAATCACTGAGCCCAAATTCAGCCTCAACATTTTCTTCTCTCAACTCCAATAACTTAACAAGTCTTTCTTCCCACCACCCCATGCTCAACTTCACCCAGAACTGTTCCATCTTGGAAACCACACACTCTAAAATACCAACTGCCCTTCTTTCTGCCACACTATGGCCTTCAACCTCACTAAGCCTTTCCTGTCCCTCAACTCCTCACTACTTTCAACCTACTGTCCCTCTCACAGGCCTCACTCCCCTTCTTAATCAGTCCATACCACAAGTACATTACCTCAATAATTTTCTGGATCAGTATCCTCAAAATTCTCATCTCTCTGGCTCTACCACTCATCTTATGATCTTAAATCAATACAACAATCTGCTTTCCCCACTCCCAAAGTAATAAAGCATACAATCCTGCACACTGGTGCCCCGTTGATGGCATAACCACACAAAAATTCTTTTAAGTATCTTTGAAACACAGTGTTTAAAATTACTAATGGGACATAACCTTGGTAGGGAAGAAGAGTTCTTAAAATATGTAGAAAAAAAGCCATCCCTTTTCCCATCCTTGCATTACTTATACATGATATTTACCTATATCATTTGTTTTACTCTTCCAAGTAAACTACAGAATAATTTTATCAAAAATAAAAATAAAAACTTTAGGCTTTTGGTTAGAAACATAAAGTCTACAAATTACCCTGGAAAGAAATGACATAAAGTAATAATTAAGTCTGCTTATCCTGAAATATAGTGGGCCTCTTCATTTTTTCCATTTTAAATCATTTTAAATCAACTTCAACCTGAGCTGTAATGTAGGCCAATGACAACCCTGAAGATGACTCTACCCATCTATGTGGATTGTAGGATTAAATAATACACAAGTAAAAAACTACTAACATATAAACAAATATTGTGCCCTCTGATGGTATACAATGAATCCATAATATAGCCATATATACCATACAACCCCAATCCCATGGTGCTTAGAATGGGCCTGTGCCAAAGTTTAAGTTAACAGCTTCTTGACCTTCCCCAAACCCCTGCTTAGGCCTCCACAGAGGATTCTGGGGACAGAGTACACATATGCATTCAATAAATATTGAGCTCCTATTACATTAGATACCAGATACGGTGCTGGGAATAGTAAACAAAACAGTGAGCTCCTTGGCCTTAGAAAAGGCTTGGCTCAAAATTCCTAACTCCCAGAGCAACAAAGAGATGAGCGGTGCTGCCTGCAGTGGAGCCCCCAGGCTTTCGTACCAGTCAGACTGCGTGATCACAGGGTTAGGATTCCTGTGGGAATCCTAACCAGGGATATTGACATGTTTCTAATGCTCTAAGAAGAGCATTATCCTCTTCTAAAAAGAAAGCCTCCTTTTAGAATTTTATATATTCAATTTGCAAATATTTTTAGGAATACAGGAAAATAAGTGACAGTCAATAGCTGGAGCAGGTGCTCAAATACTTCTTTGTTAACTGATAATATGACCTTTATAAAACCTACAATTTTCTCCACAAATTAAATTCGATATAAACCCTCAATTTTAGAAATTTAAAGAAATATAAATAATAGATTTTTCCACTTAAAATGTTGCCGCTTATTTTTAAACTTTTAACTTTTAAAAGATAAGTTTGATCTATTTTTGAACCTAGACTGGTAAATTTCTGGCACTTGAACAGTTGGTGTATCAAATTAACTTAGACACTAGGTTTTGAATTATTCCATATGTAGAAGTAACTTACACTGGGGTGACTTCGAGGAGGTACTCGTTCTCTTGGAAGTCTTTCATAGTCATATCGTCCCTCAGGCCACATTTCATCTCTTCTATAAGCCACTAAAGAAGAAAAGAGAAATAGAAGAATTATGGTTTTTATGTTATTAGGAAGTAATAGAAAAGATAAGGAAGGAGTAAGTTATTATTCTCCAACACAAATATTTTCCAGGATCTTAAGGGAAAAAAAAAAAATGTAAGTGACCAAAAGGGGAAAAAAAAGCATAGTTAAGGCAATGTCTCTTCCAAACAATGAGATTTTCTTTCAAAAAAAAAAAAATAGAAAGCCCTACCTTCCATTTCCAAAGCTATTTAAAGCTTCAAAGAGATTGTTCCCACCAATTATGGGAGGAAGAGCCACAGACCACAAATACTTCTTCATTCTCATATAGGAAGAAGTAGAAAAGATTCTTTAATGAATAGTTTAAAAGACCAATCCACAAAGCGACTCCTATTTCCTGGTGAATGGTTTGTATAACATTAGTTTTTTGCTTTTCTACATTCTTAGAGCTTACATCTCCTCTTCTCTGTGTTCAATGAAGTGGTTTTAACTGAAAAGTGTTAAATGAACAATCCCTGAAATAAGCCACTCCTGATTTTGTTATTAATGCTATAAATTTATTTTAATGCAAAGGCACCCATGTAAAATTTGAAATTAAAAGTTCTACCAGCATTTTTCAGGTTGGGGGTGCAGAAAGGAGGGTGTACTCTTTTCATAGAAGTAAAAAATGGTTCCTACTTAGAGAACTGACACATTCTGGGTAGAGGGTGAATAAAATGCATTACAGAGTCCATGGGTACACAGCTGCAAGAACAGATGAAAACAGAAACCAAACAGGCAAAAAACAAGGTAAATAAGGCAAACAGAGAATATGAGAATAGCCAAGCACAGTGGCTCACTCCTATAATCCCAGCACTCTGGGATGCTGAGGCAGAGGAGGATCACTTGAGGAATTTGAGACCAGCCTGAGTAAGAGGGAGATTCTATCTCTATTAAAAAAAAAAAAAAAGAAAGAAGATGAAAATAAAGCACAGGAAAACAGACCATTTATATGAAATGGTGATATGCTAAATTAGGAACTGGCAAACTTTTTCTGTAAGGGACCAGATATTTTTGGCCTTTTGGGTCACAGATCTCCTTTACGACTACTTGCGTCTACAGCTGTAGGCAATGCACATAAATGTATGGATGTGTCAATTTTATTTACAAAAACAGGCTAGCTGCTAGCAGATAGTAGCCTGACAACCTCTGGAGTAGATGACAAATGGTTAACAGGGCAGAACCAAGAGAAAGTAAAGTAAACATGGAGCAGGTTCTGAGTGCCAAGAACTGTGAACCTTCCAGTGTGTAGAACCACCATGAGCAAAAAGTAAAAATGGTCCAGGTACTAAGTTAGGCCTTTTAGTACATAGAAAGTATGGCAACAAGTCCAGAAGCACAAATATGTGAAGAAGGAAAACATTTCAAAAAGACGTATGTCAAAAGATTTTTGTCACTCCTCATAATACAATACTAAGGGAGTTCAGGGCGGGGTGGGGGCAAGTGGATATTCCATTTCGGCAGTAGAGAATAGCTATAGAATTCTAATAGTTTTTTTACTTTAGGTTAAGGAAAAAAACAAAGGCTGGAAGATGAGAGCAATATTTTTTTGACGGTATTATAGTAAAGCAATCTTAATTTTCTCTGTAAAAACATGCCTATAAGATTTTCTATTAATAATATAAATAGATCCAATAAAATGAACTAACCAAAGATGCCTAGGAAAATCTTACTTTTGTTAAGTTAAAAATTAGCTTTTAATATTATGAATAAATCAAACTGAATTTTCAGTCTACAATCAGACATCACAACAATGTATAATTCATCTTCTTCCGAGGTTCTAGGCTAACAAGTTTATTTTAATAATTAATAAAAGAAGGAAAAAAAACAACGTATAATTCAAAGCAACCAGTTTTTCAGGTACAAGAATTGATGGAAGCTTAAAGGGAAGAGAAATTGTCAACATTATTCCTCTTCTCCCACCTTTATTGAATCCACCAAAACTTTCCATCTAATGAATTAGATTTTATCCTATTTAATATGCAAAACAGGCCGAGCGCGGTGGCTCACGCCTGTAATCCTAGCACTCTGGGAGGCCGAGGCAGGCGGATCGTTCTGAGCTCAGGAGTTCGAGACCAGCCTGAGCAAGAGCGAGACCCCGTCTCTACCAAAAAATGGAAAGAAATTAATTGGACAGCTCAAAATATATGTAGAAAAAATTAGCCGGGCATGGTGGCGCGTGCCTGTGGTCCCAGCTACTTGGGAGGCTGAGACAGTAGGATTGCTTGAGCCCAGGAGTGTGAGGTTGCTGTGAGCTAGGCTGATCCCACAGCACTCGCCCCAGGCAAGAGAGTGAGACTCTGTCTCAAAAAAAAAAAAAATACTAATATGCAAAACAGAGTAATAGTAACAGCAATGAATTAAAGTCAAGTCAACGGAAGCTGGATGCTGGATGCAGTGGTGCACGCCTATAGTCCTAACTACTTAGGAAGCTGAGAAAGGAAGACTGCTTGAGCCCAGGAGTTCGAGGCCAGCCTGGCCAACAATAGTGAGACCCCATCTCTAAAAAATAAATTAATTAATTTAATTAAATAAAGTCCAAGGGGAAAAAAAAATCAACAACCACCAAAAGACGTATAAGCAGATAGTTCACAAAAAAAGAAATACAAATGGCTCTTATTATAAAATCCTTTGAAAAGATGCTTAACTGCCTTCAAAATAAGATGACAACCAAAGCTATAACTAACGGCTCACTAATTTTCGCCCAAAAGCACTGCAAAAACCAAACTGCTTTGATAAGATAATGGAAAGCAATACTTAACATATGTTAATGAAGGAAGTATAATTTGGTATAGACTAAGAACAATTTGGCAATACCTATTAAAATTTTAAATGTACATAGGCTTTGACCTGGCAATTTTACTTCTAGGTATACTTGTACACTTGGCACAGCAAAGATTGAAAGCAACTTAAAATGTGTCAAGAGAGTACAGATCAAATAAATTGTTGTACATTCATATAAAGGAATATTATGCAAACTATTTCAAGAAAAAGGAACCCCAAGGCCAGGCACGGTGGCTCACGCCTGTAATCCTAGCACTTTGGGAGGCCGAGGCGGGCAGATTGTTTGAGCTCAGGAGTTCGAGACCAGCCTGAGCAAGAGCGAGACCCCATCTCTACTAAAAATACAAAGAAATTAATCGGACAACTAAAAAAAACATATAGAAAATGGTGGCACATGCCTGTAGTCCCAGCTACTGGGAGGCTGAGGCAGTAGGATTGCTTGAGCCCAGGAGTTTGAGGTTGCTGTGAGCTAGGCTGACGCCAGGGCACTCACTCTAGCCCGGGCAAAAGAGTGAGACTCTGTCTCAAAAAAAAAAAGAAAAAAGAAAAAGGAACCCCGTATGTAACAATATGAGAAGATTGACAAGATATGCTGCTAAGCAAAGAAAAGTACAGGGCAGGTTAAAGCGGTATGCTACCATTTGTGGAAAATAAAAGAGCAGGGTATGACTACATATGCATATGTACAGACTACTTCTAAGTGCAACAGCAGGAGAAAGCAACACTCACTACCTCTGGGGAGGACTCTGGGGCATAGGAGGATGAATATTTTACTATATAATGTTTTATATATTCTATTATGTATTATAAAAATATGTAACTTTTTAAAATTCCTGAAAATCACTCAATAAACACAGCATGTCAAGTAATGGTAAAATGATGAATATAAATTAGTAAACTGAAGGAGAACATAAGTAAAATTAAGATTTTGTAATTAATGAGAAAAATATGGGCACGCCTGAAGCTCTGACTTGGGTGGGGCAAGGGTAATATACATTACCTAAACAACATTTGTATCCCCATAATATGCTGAAATAAAAAAAAGTTAAAAAAAAAGAAAAAATACACTATTAAGAGTCTAAAGAAATACTACATAATTTCTTAACTAGTTATAATACTAAAATACTGAAATTTACTGGCTTCCTACAAAAAAAGTAACAACAACAACTACTATACTAAATATTACTACACTATACTTACTCAAGTCCTTTCAGGAACCAAATTTAAAGTTTTCAACAATCTCCTGTGGGGGGGGCAGGGGCAGGGAATACAGGCATAAGGATTTGTGTCTGTTTAAACCAACCAACAGAGAAAAATAATTAAACCTTCACTATTTGTACAAATAAAATAAAAAATTAAAGGCATTAATAAGCCAAACTCCCTTCAAACACACTTTTGAAAATAGAAGATATTATTTTGACTACCAAAAGCCAACCAAGTTTCCTAAGAATAACAAAATTATGACAAGAGAATTTCAGTCCTAATTTTGCCTGTTGAGAGCTGGGCAGGTCATTCCTGCTCTTATCCTTATATCTGAGAAGATTATACTAGATAGGTTTTTTGTTTTGTTTTGTTTTTTTGAGATAGGGTCTCACTGTGTTGCCCAGGCTGGAGTGCAGTAGTACAATCATAGCTCACTGCAACCTTCAACTCCTGGGCTCAAGCAATCCTCCTGCCACAGCCTCTCAAGTAACTAGGACTACAGGTGTACACTACAATGTCCAGATAATTTTTCTATTTTTTGTAGAGACAGGGTCTCACTATGTTACCCAGGCTGGTCTCGAACTCCTGGCCTCAAGCAATCCCCTCTCACCTTGGCCTCCCAAAGTACTAGGATTACAAGCATGAACCATCTCACCCAGTCTATACTAGATATTTAAGGTCTTTTTAGTTGTTATTATGAACAGTGGCTTTAAAATATTTCAAGTAGTTTATTTTTTTTTTAATCTGGCAGCCTTAGTCTAGAAATCCCTACAGTTTAGAATTTGGCAAAAAACAGTCTCATGTTCAAAAGTAATCCAGAAATCAAAGCAACAATCATTAAATAAATCATCAAAGGATGCTAAGCTTATTAGGTAAAAATTTAATAGGTAACTATTTAAATGATGACTTTCTCCCCAAAACATAAAGAACCCTTAAGCAAGCTTAGGTATTAAAAAAAAAAACAAAGAAAAGAAAA